CCTGTCAATGTTTCTCTTTAGGCCTTGAGCAGAAGATTTATAAAATTTTCTGCCCCTTCATTTGATGCATATATTTGATAGAATTAGGATTTCTTGACCTACTGTTTCCTTTACCAGTAATGCCCATGCATAGTTTTTATTACCTTCTTTAGTTTGAATGCCATTTGGTGTGTAACTGTCCTCGAGTTGTGGGGTTATGGCCTATGGGGTTTTGGGGGGTGACTTTTGGTCTACCATTGGTATGTATGATTGTTTTTCATCTTCGCTCTAAGCCCATATTTATACCACAAATTCAAGTGTGCTTCCTGTAAGAAGCAAATAGTTATAGTTCTGTTTCCTAAGCGATCCAGTCACTTTATGCCTTTTGATGGAAATGTTTAGTCCACTGACATTCAGAAAATTATTTATATAAATGAATTTTCAATTTTCCTATGAACATTCTGGTTTTTTGCTGTAAGTCTAATTTTGCATGTGAGTCTAATTTTGCAATGTACACTGCTGGAATGGAGTGGATCTAGCACCTGTCTTAAGCATTTGTCTCTAAAATCTGTATGACAGGCTTACAGAGTAGAGGACCCCAAGTTCCAAGACTTTTCTGGTGCAGTACTTAGAATATATCGTTCATTTGCTTGTTTGATTTTATATAAGATGTGTTGCACATTTTATATTGTTTCCCTTGTATCTGAGTTTTTTCTTTCGCTCTTGCTACTTTTAAGTAATCTGTTTCTCTCTGTCGATCTTGCTATTTTGATTACAGTACAGTTTAATTTGAGTTTATTTTGACTGGTACTCCTTGGCCTCTTTAGTCTTTGCAGGTCTCCACCCAGTGATTGAGGAAGTTTTAAGCTATCATCCCTTCCACTATATTCCTCTTTCTTGTTCTTCTCTCCTCTGGAATTCCTACAGTATACTAATATATATATATATATATATATAGAGAGAGAGAGAGAGAGAGAGAGAGAGGTTTTTTTCTTGCTACTGTGCATTAAGTATCTTATAACTTCCATTTTTCATATCTCTGTTCTATTGTCATTTCAGTTTTGGTGATGGCTCATATTACTTTTTTCTCTTCTTTATATATCTTCACTTAATCACTTAACTTCCCGTTAGTCGTCGATTTGCTCGAGCGGGCGCCAGTAACGTCTCCATTTGTCCCCGTCGCGTGCTAGTGTAGCCCAATGGCATCTGTTCGCTCCGGGAACATGAAGGGCCTCAAACCGATCGTTCATGATCTTGACGAAGAAGACTGACCATCTGGTAGGTGGGTGGCCACGCGGTCTTTTGACATCCCATGGAATCCAATCATTAACAGCTCTAGTCCAACGGTTGTCTTTAAATCTCATTACGTGACCAGCCCATCTGATGTTCGACACCTTGGCAAATGAGACAGCGTCCCTGATCCTTGATCGTCGACGGACGTCAGAACTCTGGATTCTCTCTCTCATTTGAGTGAAACGTGATATTCCAAGCATAGCTCTTTCTATTCTTCTTTGGGAGACCTGAATAGCGTTCTCATCTTGTTTGCGTAGGGCCCAGGTCTCTGAGGCATATGTTAATGCAGGAAGAACAGTGGAATCAAAGAGATGTGCCCGGAGCCGGAGGTTCTTCGTCCTCTTAGCTATTTCTTCGACGTTCTTGAAGGCATTCCAAGCCGCTCTCTTCTTCCTGCACAGCTCGGGTGTCAGGTCATTTGTCATGTTGACTTCTCGACCTAGGTACACATAGCTGTTGCATTCGGAGATGGTCGTTCCATTGAGAGCGAATGGGGCGTCAGGAACAAGGCTGTTTCTCATAAACATTGTCTTCGTGAGATTCAGCTGTAGTCCTACCTTTCCACACTCATGGTCAAAGTCGGCCAGCATTTGTGCCGCTTGGCTGATGTTTGGTGTTATTAAAACAATGTCATCAGCAAAGCGGAGGTGGTGTAGTTGACGACCATCTATCTTCACTCCCATTCCTTCCCATTCCAGTTGTCGCATGATGTTCTTGAGGGTGGCACTGAAGAGTTTCGGTGAAATGGTATCACCCTGCCACACCCCTCTCTTGACATCAACGATCACTTCTTTGTAGAATGGTGAGATCCTGGTAGTGAATCCGCAATACAGCTCACGGAGGATCCTGATGTATTGGCTAGGGATGAATGCCCTGATTGGCTAGGGCTTCAATGACCGCTTCCATCTCAACAGAATCAAAGGCCTTCTTTAAATCAATGAACGTTAAACAGAGCGGCATCTTGAACTCCCGAGAAACCTCAATGACCTTGCTTATCGTGTGGATATGGTCGATGGTGCTGAATCCTTTGCGGAACCCTGTTTGCTCGCATGGTTGTCCTTCATCTAGTGTTCTGCCAATCCTATTTAGGATGACTTGAGTGAACAACTTGTAGATGGCAGACAATAGGCAGATCGGGCGATAGTTGCCAATGTCATGGATGTCTCCCTTCTTGAACAGTAGTACGGTCCTGCTGGTTTTCCATTGGGAGACCCACCCTACCCAGAAAAATAACCCACTGGCAGACTTCCACTCTCGACACTACTTCCACTACCCAGCCGTCGCCACACTCCAGGACGCTTTGCGGACCCGCGCGGCCACAAAGCGGCCACGCGACACATCATTAGACACTAAATACCCATCTTCTGGAATTGTCGTACCATATTTGATAGGGTTCAAATATGGTAACACCTACAAGGGTGATTAGAGGTCACCCCAAAAGCCTCTATCCCTCTCAGAAAGACTGGCAAGCTACCAAGAGTATTCCGCCCGCACAGAAGAGCCTGGCAAGCTATCCGCTGTGTATTCGATATGCCAAAACCAGTAACTACAACTGGTCTCATTCACCTGACCCTGAAGGCTTCACCGACATGGCAGCACTGAGAAGGATGAGAAAGGAGAGGCCGACAAAATCTCAAGGCCGACCTAGGCTGCCACAACGAAGGAAGATAAAAATGATCGTCTGTACTTTCAATGCACATACGCTAGCATCAGATGCATCCATCGAGGACCTGATGGTACAAGCGTGAATGATCAAGTACGACATGATTGGTCTGACCGAGACAAGAAGGCACGAATCTCACGAATCTCAGTGTCGTTTTCGACACTGGAGAAGAATTGTTCCTCGGAACATGCGATAGAAGAGGTGTTAGAGGCGTTGGTGTCCTTGTCAACACAAACTTGGCCAATAGCGTTGATTCATTCGAATGCCTAACAACCCGAATCGGACGTTTACATTTGAATAGATGTGGCTCACTGCCTGCAGTTTCTATCTTCGTTGTCTACTCACCAACATTTCATTATGATGAAAGAGAAAGCGAGAAGTTCTACATGGAGCTAGAGAAGTTCTATAAAGAAGACCACACCTTCTACAAGATCATTGTGGTGATTTTAATGCCAAGATAGGACCGAGAAGATCAGCTGAAGAACTTCACATCGGGACCCATGGCCTAGAATGGAACGAACAGGGTGAGAGACTGTCTGAGTTCATCATGTCGACCAAGACCATTCATGGTAACTCACAGTTCCAGAAGGCAGAATCTAAACGATGGACATGGGAGTCTTCCGGTGGACGATTCCACAATGAAATAGACCACATCATATTCAATCGATGGTTTTGCCTGACTGATGGCGCTGTTGTCCCAAAATTTCGAACGGGATCCGACCACCGTCTCCTTCGTGCAAAATTCTACTTCACAGAATGGGGAGAAAGGGCTGCAAAGTTCAAAAAGAGAACTCCCAGAATGACCACCAACTGGGAACTCTTTGGTACTATTGCAGCAACATGGGAAGATGCCATTGTTGACAACATTGACGAGGAATATGATCGACTGGTTCAGCACCTCCATGAATGTGCGAGGAACGCCAAGAGAGAGATAGCCACAAAAAATCGCCTATCCTCGAAAACTCTTGAGCTAATTCGCCAGCGTGGTTTGGCGCATGCCTCAGGCAACCGCAAGCTAACATCCGAGCTCGCAAAGCAGTGCAGAGATGCGATCAAGGAAGACCTCAAAGAGAGAAGAGCAGAAGTGTTGGTAGAAGCGGCAGAAGCCGGGAAAAGTATTCGTAACGCCCGCCTGTCCTTCGCCAACTATAAGACCAAGATGACTGCCCTCCCACGTCCTGATGGATCCATCACATCCTCCAGAACGGCAATGGAGAAGATTATCCATGACTTCTACTCAAATCTCTTCGATAGCCATGTCCACTTGCTGACATACCAAATTCCACAGGATGGATATGTCGTTCCCAACGTTCTCCCTTCTGAAATACGACACGCCATTTTGTCGGTAAAGAAACAAACAGCACCCGGCCCAGACAAGGTCAGACCTGAACACCTGAAGAACCTGCCGTCAGTACTCATCAATACACTGGCTCGGCTCTTCACTCGCTACCTGTCTGAATGCAAGGTTCCGTCCCAATAGAAAACCAGCAGGACCGTACTACTTATATATCTTAAAGTTCAAAAATTGAGTTTATTGATTTGTTGTTGTTGCTGCTTTTCCAGTTACTAAAGTTTGGAGATTTCCATAAAACCCATACTCTTTTTAGGTTAAGCATTAGAAAATATTCAGAGTCTTGGCTATGTAACCAATACATATTGGCTTATTAACGCAACATGTTCACTCTCCCTTTGTGATCATTAGACCTATCCAATAGTCTCTACAATGAACACATCAATCCCATTTAGAATTCTTACTGACTCTCCAATTTGGCTTGTCTACTAAACTGGTCATTATTTCTCCACTAAAGTTCCTTTTTTTTTTTTAAATTTGAGCATAGTTTCTGGGTCTTTTGTAGAGTAACATTTGCCCGTCTTCTCAAATATAAAGACACGTAAACCATACTTTAACATTTACCACCAGTGGTTCAAACTTGGCTGTGGCTTAATTAACACAAATTGCAGCAGTGACTTCAACATGTTAAGAGTTTCCTTCTTCTTATAACATCATTTTTCTTAGAGTGACAAAAAAAATTATTCTACAGTATTTGTCCCATATATTACTCACCTCTGGATAAAGATAGAAGCGTTTCACTGTATTAATTACAAGTGGATATTCAGTGATCCTATCATTCATAATCATCCACAGTCCTTGCAAAAATGAAGGTGCATCAATAATGGTCTTGAAGTAAGAATAATAAAGTCCCTTAAAAAAAAGGGGGGACATGTTGTCAATGTAAGTAAAATATGAAAGTATTTACTTTTATATTCCTTTTAGAACAATTTCTTAAATTTTTCAAATGACGGGTTAGAGAGCACAGTGGGTAGGGCGTTTGCCTTGAATATGGCCAACCCAAGTTCAATTCCCAGCATTCCATATGGTCCCCTGAGCACCGCCAGGAGTAACTCCTGAGTGCAGAGCCAGGAGTAACTAACCCCTGTGCATCGCCAGGTATGACCCAAAAAGCAAAAAATAAATATTTTTTTTTTCCAAATGAAAAGGCTGAAGGGCTGATTATATTTCTCTTCGGTTTATTAAGGTTTGTTGTTGTTGCTGTTGTTTGGGGGCCACAACAGGTGGTGCTCAGGGCTTACTCCTGGTTCTGCACTTAGAGATCACTCCTGCACCATATAGGATGCTGGGGATCAAATCTGGGTTGGCTGCATGAAGAAAGCACCTTTACCCACTGTACTATCTATTTGGCTCCTCAATGATTACATGTTTCAAGGAATTTTTCTAACCATGCCTTAATGAAAACAATTGATTTTCAATTTTACCAAGTCAGAAATTACTTCCCATTGTACGAGATGTCTAGATCTAGGCATTGTGCTAGATGGCTAGATACCATTTCACCGAAACTCTTCAGTGCCACCCTCAAGAACATCATGCGACGACTGGAATGGGAAGGAATGGGAGTGAAGATAGATGGTCGTCAACTACACCACCTCCGCTTTGCTGATGACATTGTTTTAATAACACCAAACATCAGCCAAGCGGCACAAATGCTGGCCGACTTTGACCGTGAGTGTGGAAAGGTAGGACTACAGCTGAATCTTACGAAGACAATGTTTATGAGAAATAGCCTCGTTCCTGATGCCCCATTCGTTCTCAATGGAACAACCATCTCCGAATGCAACAGCTATGTGTACCTAGGTCGAGAAGTCAACATGACAAATGACCTGACACCCGAGCTGCGCAGGAGGAAGAGAGCGGCTTGAAACGCCTTCAAGAACGTCGAAGAAATAGCTAAGAGGACGAAGAACCTCGGCTCTGGGCACATCTCTTTGATTCCACTGTTCTTCCTGCATTAACATATGGCTCAGAGATCCGGGCCCTACGCAAACAGGATGAGAACACTATTCAGGCCTCCCAAAGAAAAACAGAAAGAGCTATGCTTGGAATATCACGTTTCACTCAAATGAGAGAAAGAATCCGGAGTTCCGACATCCGTTGACGATCAAGAATCAGGGACGCTGTCTCATTTGCCAAGGTGTCAAAAATCAGATGGGCTGGTCACGTAATGAGATTTAAAGACTAGACTAGAGCTGGACTAGAGCTGTTACCCACTGGATTCCACGGGATGTCAAAAGAACACGTGACCACCCACCTACCAGATGGTCAGACTTCTTCATCAAGATCATAAACGATCGGTTTGAGGCTCTTCGTGTTCCCAGAGCGAACAGATGCCATTGGGCTACACTAGCACGCGACAGGGGCAAATGGAGATGTTACTGGTGCCCGCTCGAGCAAATCGACGATTAACGGGAAGTTAAGTGATTAAGTGATTAAGTGTACGAGATGCCTAGAGGTTGAAATATGATTTCTAGCACAGACAGAGATGTTCCCGTATCTTTGAACAACTTTACAAATATAAAACTACCTTTCCCCCCCACATCTGAAAAGAAAATGAAACTATCATTAGAAGTGAAATGCAACTTCAGGCTTTCAACTTATATCACAGCTCCATCTGATGGCTCTGCACAAAGTCAACTGACTTGTTCTTCATGAAACAAATGCTGTGTCCCAAAAAAAGGCTATGTTAGTATATGATCTCAGTTAGGAAATACTGTCACTACCGGGCTAATGAAAGGGCATGTTAGTTCAAACTCAAAGACAAACAGTATCTCATTGTTTCATATAAAACTCTATATAAAGTCAGCATTATTTCCAATTAATATGTTCCTAAGAATCTAGATGCTATCAGCTGTCATATAACAAAGCACAGAACAACTATCTGGGAGTCAAACTGATAGCTACAAACAGAATAGAGGTTACAGGGACTAAGGGGAGGGGAAAAGAAGCTGGTAAGAGTGTCTGTTTGGAAAAATACAAAGTTCTGGAAATATATGGAGTGGTGATTATAAAATAATACAAAAGTATTTAAAAACTACCTAAAACAGTTGAAATAGCAATTTTGCTATTTTGGTAAATTTTTCATTTAAATTTTTTATTAACAGTATTTTTAAAGCAATGGCTGCACAAGAGGAGGCAGTCTGGCAAACACGGGATGATCTTACTCATCTGTGCAATATAGAACACTCTCTGAAGAAATATAGTAAAGGGAGGATGTCTAGATCATCCCTGACCCTAGTCAAGGTGGGCAAAGAAGGAATGAAATCATAGGGTAAAGAAGAGAACAGGAAGTAATGGGTGAACGGGTATCAGGGATTCGGTTACAATGGTGATCAGGTGAGTGGTGTAGCCATATATCCAACAACACTGAAAACGTGAGATCTAAGCTGCAACCACTGAAACTTCATAATGTGCCTGTCAAGTTGACACATAGGGACTGGAGTTTGGGGTGGGGAGGAAATGTGGGAACACTGGTGGTAGAAGGAAGTTGATACCAGTGGTAGGATTGGTGCTGAAATATTATATGTCTAAAACTCAACTATGACTTTGTAAAATCACAGTTCTTTAAAAGTTTTATTTGCACAACAAATGTGAAAAAGATAGCACTGAAAAATATTTTCTTTTTTAATTATTTTAATGTAGGAGTATTTTATTGCTATTTATTCAGTCACTGATTAGGCTGATTGAATTGAGCATGAACTCCACCTTATTTTTCCCACTTTTTATAAATTTATTTATTGAATCACCGTGAGAGCAGTTACAAAGCTTTTGGGTTTAAGTCTCGGTCATACAATGATGAAACACCTGTCCCTATACCAGTGCCCATTTCCCACCACCTAAAACCCCAGTATACCCCCCATCCCACACCCTCCCCCGACCTGTGGGGCAGCTGACTTCCACATTACTCTCTCTCTCTACTTTGATCACATTCAATATTTCGACACCAGACCCACCATTATTATTTGGGATTTTACCCCAACACACAGATCTGCCAGAAAGGCAACGGTAGAGAATTTGTTTTCTATTGCTGGTCATGAATAACATATCATGTCATGCGGCAGCAATAGTGGCTGCGCAATTTTGGAATTCTGAAATTTTAACAATTAAATCTGGAGGGATTTTTGCCAAAACCTGCTGCGTTCTGAGATTTATTCTTCAGTCTCTGGGATCATGGCTGTTAAGCAGCTTGATCGGGAGCCAGCAAGGCCATTCGTGGGTGGGGTCTCATTGGGACAGGCTAGGAAAGGGCTGGCTCCACCCCCATCCCATGAGGCTCCGCATGTCATCATTGTGCGTGCAAACCTGACTGTCCAAAGGCCTCTGGGGAATGGCAGCCACTGAGCCGCCAAGAGGAAGTAGGCTGAGGGACAGCACCCTTTACCTCCTGGGGTAGCCCAGCACTGGTAACCTACTGCAGGGACCGGATGCATTTCTGTCAAAAGCCACTGGGTTCAGAGATTTGTTTGAGACACTGGGATCAAGGCCATTAAGCAGTTTGATCAGGAACCAGAGAGGTCTTGCCTCCAATTATAAAGCTGAGCCAGAGGTGGTTTGTGGGTCTGTCTCCCACATACCTAACTTTTGGCCATGTCTGGCCAAAAGCACAGCAGCAATTCTGGGGTATCTAGAAGTCTGAAGGCACCACCAGGCTGGTGATGCACTCGCCTCACAGGTACAGATTGACCTGCTAGTGGGACCATACCCCAGAAAAATACTTTCTAAAGTAAAAAAAAAAAGAAAGAAAGAGAGAGAGAGAGAGAGAGAGAGAGAGAGAGAGAGAGAGAAAGAAAAAACAAGAGGCAGTCTGAGTTCTTCATTTGGAGTCCCAATTAACTTATTGGAAGGAATAGTACTGCTATGCCCTAAATGCGAAACTCTGCATCCTAACATCATCTTATACATTTTGAAATAAAAGAACAGAAATTAAAGGAATCATATCAAAAAAACAGTCTCTTTTACAAGATTGTCTTGAAATCCTAAGAGGTGTAAGAGACTTTTTTAAAAAATGAAGACTGCTCAATTCTAAATCAGAAGAAAGCAATCTTTTGTACCATGATACCCTTAAATAATTTCTCAAATGTTTTTATTTGCTATTCTTCCTTGACCATTAAAACTGATGTTAAGAAGTTTGTACTAGGAAAGGATAGAGATAATGAAATAATATTTTTATAAATAAGGAAATCAATATTTTTCTAATTAAAAATGTCATCACTTGAGAAATGGTACAGCTTACCAAACATTCATTTCAGTTGCTAATTTCTACCGTACAATCTTTATTATTCTTAAGCTACGAATGAATTCATTAGAATAATCTAACCATTTCAGTGCGAAAAGTCATTTCCCGTTCCAAAGATGAGAGGTGAGAAAAATGACGATCATTTTCAAAAAGTGTCTTTAAGTGCACCCTAGGGGCAAATAGAGTACAGTAAGAACATGTTTCAAAGCCAATACTAAAATAACTAATTTATAAACAAAGTAACAAAAACTGTCAAGTAGAAAAGTGCATTTTTATAACACTGAGATAGTTTTATAATATGCCTACCAACAACTACTTTGGGCATTTATCAACAAGTATTGCACATAACTGAAACTCTGATTGTTTCCTGGTTCTTAACCTTGTGTTTCTAAAATCTGTGGACCTCTCCATTCCTACTCCATTTCCAATCCTTTAAGTCAGAAGAAAGATTCTGTTAAATTTCAAAAATGATCCTAATGTACCAGGTTTGGAAAAATACAATTCTAAATATGAAAACTTCAGACTGAAATAATACTATATGAGGGCTCAACTTTCAGGTGCCACAGACCATGGACTTATACTTTGAAATACTTTATTAGTATAATTCATACAACTGGCACATCAGTATTAATAGCCCATTAGTAAGCAAATTATGCTCTTCAGTTTATATACAAACACATATATAATATACACATATATACACTTTTCGATAAAGCATGAGATAAACTTCAACAAATCAGGCATACTTTCCACTCATCTTCATTTTCACGAAGGACCTTTAAACAGGCACCAAAAGCCATTGAAAATATTTCTTATCATTACCATTAGTAAATTAGTCTGCATATTCTCCGTGAATACTAAATGGCAAGAATAGCAGTCTTAGAAGAATGCAGGGCCAACAAGGTAGTAGAGTGGATCAGGGTACTTGCTTTGCACACAGTTGACCTGGGTTTGATCTCTGGCACCCCATGTGGTTCCCTGAGCTTTGCCAGGAGTGATCCCTGAGAACCAGGAGTAGGCCCTGAGCATCACTGGGTATGGCCAAAATGAATGTAGGGCAAGTCCCCAAGAGTAGGACTTCACGTTCTTTTTATTGTATTTTTCCAAATTGATCACATATCTGAAATAAGGTGCATATGTACATACACTGAAAGGTTCATTCAATAACTACAATTCAGGAGCCAGAGCAATAGTAAAGCAGGTAAGGGAGGTGCGTGCACATGGCCGACCTAGGTTCCATCCCGGGCATCTCATATGATTCCCCTGAGCACTACCAGGAGTAATTCCCGAGTGCAGAGCCAAGAGGAGTAACCCCTGAGCAACGCTGGGTGGGTGACCCAAAAGAACCAAAATAATAATAATTACCATTAGTCTGTCTTCATTTTTACCAGACTTTCAGTTGATAGGTCTCTAAAATATTATCTCTGAAATTTTCAGTGAAAAACATGCAGAGGAGTTTTTGAGAGTAATTGTGAAAAAATATATTAGAAAAACTAGTGGAAGAAAACTAGAAATACAGAGGGGAATCCTTTTGAAAACAAAAGTATTTTAATTCGTATGTTACTAATCCCCTACTCAGTGTATTTTTATATGCTGTTTCACTTGTCTTTATTCAACATGTTTGTAAACTGGTGCACATACAAATGCTCTATACACGTGGAAAGCAATTAGTTTTTTACCGAGTGCAAACAGCAATGCAGTTTTTAATCAAATGCTTTTATTAATTTCAAACAAACTAATCTTACCAGTGCAAAAGTGCCACAAAGACAGCTGGAAAAAAAGAAAAAAGTCATTAAATAGCTGCTTTGTTATAATACCTTTAAAACAAGTACTTCAAAGTTATTCATTTATATATGTAGAAAACAAGCACACACAGCAAGATGGCTAGCAAAATCTATCTAGATAAGCTCAGGAAAAAATCCCAAAGGACATAACTTGTGAATAATGCTTACCTCTGCAGGGGAGACTTGAGCAAAGGAAGATATGTTCGAGACTTTCAGTATCTCAATGATTTGCAAGAGTGATATTATCATTTTGACCTCATTTTAAGATTTTTGTGTTTTCTCAGTGTTATTCTTTAACTCTGTTCATATAAATTTTTAAAGGCAGCATATATAGACCTATTCATAAGGACCCCAACTTCTCTTACAATTCAACACTTACATAGGAATCTTTGCCGTTCTATTTTCTACCTTCTCAGAAGAGCAAGTATCCCTTTCCCACAGACTCTTAAATTTATGACTTTAACCCTACCTTTCCCAAATATTCTGAGACTCTGTTGAATCAATGATTTCCTCTCTCAAAACTTAAATTTCACCCTCCTCCCCCCCACACTTTGATTCTTCCCCTCAGTCTTTACTTATCCTAGACCAGGATAAGTTCTTATCAGTTCTTCAAACTATGAAACACTAGTTCCTCTGCTACCCACAACTTGATGACAAGACTCTTGGCCAATTTTTTTCAGGTCCTATAATTCTTGATTTTTGGTTTTGAGGCCACACCCAGCTGCGCTCGGGGATTAGTCCTGGTAATACTATCTCTTCAGCCCAAGTTCTTACAATTTTCTTAATAGCTCTGAATTGACCTCTTTAATTCTTCTCTAGCATTTCACCAAATGTTTGGATTTCTTGTCTTTTTTCCATCACGCCAACTATTCTCAGTGATATTTTTCTGTCCAGTGTTTTTATATTATTTCCTGACTTCTTTTCCTTTTCCTCTCCTCTAAGAAATGTAATGATTAAAACAGCAAAGTATTAAAATAAAAACACATAAGTTAATGTAACAAAACTGAGAGCCCAGATATAAAACCACACATATAAATAAGGAGGATTGATGACAAAGGAGTCAATGAAAGTCTCTGCAATGAATGGTTGTGGGAAACTTTTTATGACCATATGTAAAAGAATGAAAGTACACCACTATTTAACACCATATACACATGTTAATTCAACATGAATTTATGGCAAGGATACATCACCCAAACCACAATATCCACAGAAGAAAATACAGGCAATGTATTCTTAAACATTACCTTTCAAGATGTTCTCCAGCATCTCGGAAAACAAAAGCAAAAAATAACGAGATTATGCCAAACTAAAAAGCTTCTCTATAGCACAAGATTTAAACTGACAGAACATGCTAATGGAAGTTATCTGCACATCATACATTTGACAAGGCACTAACATCCAAAATATATGAATTACTGATAAAACTCAACAACACAACAAAATGGCCAGAGGACCTGTTCATAGTCACTTTTCTGAAGAAATCTTACAGCTAACCAATAGCACATACAAATTATGTTTAACAAGCTGGAGAGACAGCAGAGTGGGGAAGGCGCTTGCCTTGCACATGGCCAACCAGGATTCAATCCCCATTTGGTTCACCCTGCCATCGTCAGGAGTGATCACTGAGCATCATTCATTAGGTCAAAACCAAAATGTTTAACAACTCTTATTAAGGAAATACACATCAAAACAACAAAGAGATATCCCCTTCCCACCTGTAAGAATGTCTATTTTCCAAAAGATAAGATACTACAAGTTGGAGATGTGAAGAGAAGAAAACCTGCATAGACTATTCAGAAAGATGCGAATTAGCAAAGCCATTATAGAAACACCGTACAAGGTAGTCAGAATATAGAAGCAATTTATCAAATACAACTATCCCACTTCAGAATATTTACCCCCACCAATGCAAGACTTCAACAATAGGTATGCGTAATATTATGTTCCTTACAGTCTTATTTATAATAGTCAAGGGCTAGTATCCACCTAGATGCCCATGAATGATGAATGAATAAAGATGTGCAATGGAAGGGTGAAATCAGGTCATTTACCAGCAATTGGTAGACAGAGCCAGCTTTCTGCTTAAGTGAAATCATAAAGATAAGCACCATATATTTTTTCTCATTTTTATTCGGGATAACAAACATACAAAAATACAACCAAAAGAACCTTTTGGATCCTAAGACCAATTAGTGGTTATCATAAGGCGAGGGGGAGTGGTAAGCACATTAGAACAAAGGGAACAATTGTATGAAGTGTAAAACTGGACTTTCAGTGAGGAAATCAGTCCATACGTTTCAAGGATGCAACTTAGATGAACATATATCTAATAACTCAGTACTCCAACCATTAAGTCGTTCAGTGGGGGCACTGTGAATGTACTACGCCACTGAACCATCCTCTCGAGAATGGTTAATCCTGTTAGGTGCTTTTCACCTCCTCCAACTTTTCCCCTAAAGAATCCTGTACTGACTTCTCACAGGATTCACCTAGGCTCTATAGCCATGTCCCAGCGAACCTTGCCCATCTGTTTCCTTGCCGGGCCTTCATGCAACTTCAGGACCCTGTCTTCTTGCTGGAGCACAGACCCTCGCCCTTCCCAGCATTCCCAGTGCATGAACGCGAATCCAGCTATCGGACCCCCACAGGCCCCCGCCCCCAAGGCCCGCCCCAGGAGCGTGCAGTCACCCCTGCAAAGGGGCCGGCGCGTGGGGCAGCGACACGCCTTCAAGGCCCACAACCTGGACCTCCTCGGGGCGCACACAGTGACCCTAAGCTCCCGCTTCTGGGGAGCGAGCCTCGCCCCCAGAAGCGCGAGGTTCCTTCGCAGGCAGAGCGCGCTCTAAGTGGCCGCTTCCCGCGGCGCGCCTCTGTGGGCGGGGTCCCTCTACCGCCGCAGGCTCGGGGCGCTCTCACCCCGCTCGGGAGCGACCCCCCGGTGCGCTCCGGACGACGCCCCGGCTAGCGTACCCCACCCCTCTCCCGGGCCGCGCCCGCCGCCCGCGCCGCCGCGGCGATCACACTGCGGCGTCCCCGGCCCGGGCCCGGCGCGCCCGCTCACCGAGGCCCAACATGCTCCTCCGGGAGAGGCGACGCGAGCGCAGCTGCGTCGTCTGGTCCCGGAGCTGCTGCAGCAGCTGCCCGACGACCGGGAAACGGCCGCGCAGCAGCCGCCGCGTGACCATCTCCAGCCGCGCGCCGTCGGGCCGCTCCAGGTCGAGGGGCCTCCGCGACGAGTGCCCGCGCCGGCCGCCCGGCAGGTGCCCGCCGCCCAGGGTGGCCGGCAGCTCGCATTTGTCCGCGCCCCGGGGCGGCGACTCCTCGGCGTCCGGCTCCCGGGCTCGGGGCGCCCGGCGCCGCCGTCTGGGCAGCGGGGAGCGGGACGCGCGGGGCGGCGGCTCGGCGGCGCCTCGGAACGGGGTCCGCGCCGGGCCCACCATCTCGGCAGTCCTCCCTGGCGCCGCACACTCCCGGCCCGCCTCAACGACTCGCCCTGGCCGCCGTTGCGGGCCCCGCGGTCGTCATGGAGATCGCGACGGCCCGAGTCGCGGGGCTGGCGGCGAGGACCGCCGCGCGCCGGGTCCACGTGCGCCGCGCCCACGTGCGCCCGCCCCGCCCGCCCCCAGCCCACCTGCGCCGCGCCCACGTGCGCCCGCCCCTCCGCCCCCACCCACCTAAGCCCGGCCCTCCCGCCCCCCAGCCCGCCCGCGCTCCCGCCCCCGCCCCGTGTGCCCGCCCCTTCCCGCCCCCGCCCCCTAAGTCCGTCCCTCCCGCCCGCTCCCACCTAGGCCCGTCCCTCCCGCCCCCCAGCCCGTCACCTCTCGCCCCCGCCCACGTGTGTCCGCCCCCTCACGTCCCCTCCCACCTAAGCCCGCCCCTCCCGCCCCCGCCCACCTAAGCCCATCCCTCCCGCTCCCAACCGTCCCCCAGCTCCCTGCTCGTGCCCCCAACCCCAGTGCGTCCCCCACCCTCCCTAAATCCCCGTCTATCGCCCATTCCCCGTGCCCCTCTCACTACCCAGCACCGTCCCCCAACTCTGATTCTGTCCTGTCTTCCCGATCGCAGGAGGCTTGCGCTTATCTCGGGAGCGAGAGAGGCTGGGGCAGGGGGCGGGACCTGAGCAGAGCTCGTTCCCAGCAGGTGGCAGCCTGGGTCACTAGCGCTAACTGCAGCCACAAGGAGACTCCCACGTGGTCCCAGGGCCCACCCCCCGGAAAACGGTCCGCCTGCGCCCAAGAACTCCACCCCACTCCTCACCACAAGCACCCCAGCACCCTTGGACTCAGGCTCAGAAACTAGAACGCTCAGGGTTCTAATCCATTGGCCCCTAATCACAGCAGGAGCAGAGAGCAGGGAGCACTGCAGAACAGAACCCCCAAAATATCGGGAGGGGGGATAACAAAAGAGAAAAGAGGGCTCTGCGGGCTTTAGAGCTCTGTTTAGAGTTCTGGCTTAGGGTTTCCCCTAGACCTGGAACTTGTACTGTTAGGCGTCTGTGCCAGAGTCCCCAGTTCTTAGGTGGCCCCCTAGAAAGACTGCCCTGATTCGTGCGCCCCCTTGCCCCAAGAAATAGCATCCAGGCAAGGTCACTGGCAGGGCCTCTGGACAGACCGGCTGTGCCCAGCGTGCTTACTTTCCTTTGTCCTACTAATCCAAGTGTCCTCGTGGACAGCGTGGGAGAGCAGAAGTGCCTTCTCACATGTTGTCCGCTTGGCTACACCCAAGAGCGATTCCACATCCTCCAAGTCTGCTGCACCCGGGTCCACGTCCCATCCACTCTCTCCATGCCCGGGGTGGGTGGGGGGACAAGGCCTAGGTCTAATCAGAGTTGGGGCTATGGGCCCCACTTGTCTATCTGAGTTGTCGTGGAGCCCTGTACAGTGTCCTCGGTGTCTTCAATGATTTGCTTCCGTTTGTCTTTGGGTCATTGTGAGTGGGATCAGCAGCTGTCCCCTGGCGTTTCTGTTCCTTTTCTTTCCCGCCTGAATTCCATCCGGCCCATCAAAAGACTCTTGAGCACTGATCAAGAGATTCTTTTCTAAGCACTTATCGAAGGTACCCTTATCTTTGTTTCACTTAGTTAAGTGCTACTACCAGTTTTCTGTTTTCTTCTTTCTTTTTCGGTTTGGGGGCCACCCCCAGCAGTGTTCAGTGCTTATGCCTGACTCTGCTCTCAGGGATGACTCCTGCCTGGCAGGGTATATGGGTGCCGGGGATGAAACCAGGTTGACCATGTGAGAGGCAAGCATGCTACCTGCTGTTCCATCAGTCTGGCCCCAGTACTCTGTTTCCTAAGATTTTTCTAAGCATGTCTCCGTTGTGGGAACTTTCAATAATGTTTCTTATTTACTTCGTATTTACATCATTTCTTATTTACTTCATAAATTTTTAGAGATTAAAAAACTAAGGATAGAGGACGTATCAGATATGAAACTGATAAGAACAGATACTACACTTGATCTTAGCCAAAAGTCCGAGAAACGGAGCTGGAGCGATAGCATAGTGGTAGGGCGTTTGCCTTGCATGCAACCAGCCTGGCGGAGCAGGGTTTGATTCCTCCGCCCCTCTGGGAGAGCCCGGCAAGCTACTGAGAGTCTCTTGCCCACGCGGCAAGGTCTGGCAAACTACCCATGATGTATTCGATATGCCAAACACAGTAACAACACAGTCTCCAATGGAGACGTTACTAGGCTCGCTCCAGCAAATCAATGAACAGTGGGAGGACGCTGATACAGCAATACAGTGAAAAAACTAAGGATGTTGGAGTGATTTTTCCAAGTGTTAATAGTGAATAAGTTCCAGCGCTCAACACTGGGTTTGCAATATGATAGGAAAGGCTAATAAAAATTATTCTTTGGCCTACAGGCATATGAAAAAGTGCCCCACATTGCTCATGATTAGGTGTGGTGATTGACCACAGTAACATTGATCATATTGGCACCTTGCACTTCCATCCCTTGGGGGGTCCATCACAGGGAATGAGACAAATACAGAGAACTGTCCAGGTTTGGGGGTTGCCCAGGCAGACCCCAGTGAATGCCCAGGCTGGCCACTTATTCCCTACAGCACTGCTCCTGCACCCTGGTTCCCAGCACTGAGCTATTCTTTAAATTGGCAGAGACACTAAGGATAGTCAATAAGCACTTCAAAATTCAATGGATATGTTAACTTTGAAATATTAATGTACCCATCTGAGACTGGGGTACTTCACAGAGCCTATCATGCCCTTAAAGCAAAAAGTCGTGGTAAGTTCCTATTCTGTTTTTGTCTATGTTGCCCTCTAATTCTAAAATACTAAATGGTTTTATTCTATACTTTCCTTGGCACTTTTGCTACCCTATGTTGATATTGAAATACCTTAACTGCTTTGCCCAAAATACTATCTTGACTTTGGCATTGTCAGGGGGATGATTTCCCACATTTGGGGAACAATAACTCAAAGAAAAAACCCTCAGATTTCATCTCACACCAATGAGAATAGCACATATGAAAAAGTCTGGAAACAGTGTTGGTGGGATTGTGGTAAGAAAGGAACCCTCGTGCAACGTTGGTAGAAATGTCCTCTGGTTCAGATTCTATGGAATGCAATATGAAGAATTACCACTCTCAAATAGGAATAGATCTTGCATACAACCCAGCCATACCACTTCTTGATATCTTACCCCACAACACAACACCATTAATCTGAAACGATATATGCACATCTATGTTCATTTCCACACACAAAACAATAGCCATTATATGAAAACAATCCAAATACCCAACTACAGATCAATGGATGAAAAAGTTGTGCTATATATACACAATAGAATACTATGCAGCTCTATTAAAGAACAAAATCATGCATTTTGTAACACCATATATGGAATTAGAGGAGATCATGCTGAGTGAAGTCAGAAGGCGAGAGATAGATACAGAATGATCTCTCTAAATCATGGACCTCAAGATCTGCAGCAAGGGAGCAACGAAGGTCCAAAGATAACACAACAGAAGAACTGATCCACACAATTGATTGGGGTGGGGGGTGTTGTTTGAAAGAGAGGGGCATTGAGGTCTTTGGGAAAGGGAATTGGGTATACTGGTAATGGGTGTGATGTTAGAATTATGTGCACAAGACACCATTATTAATGTTTTGTAAACCACAATGAATTTTTCAAATGCAAGGTGTAAACTGAGCACCATCAGGAGTGACACTGGCCACCAAGCACCACAGATCTATATAGCATTCACAGCTGAAAATAAAGAGAATTTTAAGAGAAAAATATTCTCAAATGAATATGGATATTCCAAATACCTTATTTCTTAATTATGAGCTCTTAGATATTGTTTTGAAATAGTAAGAGGAATGCAGTAATTGTTTCTTTCTGGCCAGTTTGCTTCCTGAAGTTTCTAATTGCCTTTTTGTTTTGTTTTGGGGCTACCCCTAGTTGTGCTTACAGTTTATTTTTGGCTCTTTGCTCATGAAAAAGTGTCTTGGGGGAACCTATGTAATGAACCGAGGTTAGTCCTGTGCACCTTAACCCCTTTATTATCTGACGTGGCCCATTCAACTGCCTTTTGGATCTTTGATGTACTGAAAAAGAACTAAGTGTTCTTACCCTTGATCTATCTCTGAAGAGCACAAATCAGATTATTTTAAGCATTTTAGTTTCTGGTGGTAGAATTGGTATTGAAACATTTTATGCCTGAAACTCAACTATGAATAACTTCGTAAATTATGGTGCATTTATTTAAAAATTTAAATTTTTCATAAGAATGTTTATTGCAATGTTTATATCAGAGAAAACAAGGAGGAAGCCTCATTTAAAATATGACAAAGCATGCACATATCTGGCTTGATTAATATCAGGAACAAGGCAAGGGGCTAATGAAACCAGTCAGCAACTCAGGGTAGTACCAAGAAATCTGTTCCCAGAAGTGAAGTATATGGACCAATGTAAGAGCAAGTGGTGATGCATTATAGTATTATAATCCTTCCTTTAATTTCATTAAAAAATGAATGTTTGAAAATAACTTGGAATGATATTTATGGCACATAATCAATAAAACTATTACTTGTAATGTGAACAACTGAAAAGAAGATAAGAAACGTATCATGAAGCATTGCAGTCATGAAAGTCACTTTGAATATTTATGTGACAGAAAAATATTCATGATATGAACTTTACATACAAGTGGTACAATATGGAAAGTATCATGCTAAGCGAAATGAGTCAGAAAGAGAGGGATAGACATAGAAAGATTGCCTTCATCTGGGGGATATAAAGTAACAAAGTATGAGATTAATACCCAAGAATAGCTGAGATCAGCACCAGGAGGATTACTCCGTAACTTAGAGGCTAGCCGGGTATCCTAGAGGTAAGGGCAGTTCAGATAGAGAAGGGAGCACCAAATAAAGGATGTTTGGAGGATCCTCCCAGGAGGGGAGATGCATGTCGAA